CTAGTCAGAAAGGTTTGTCTGTACTAAGGCAGTGGGGAATACCTTTTCCGTGACGCCCCTCCCTGATATTTGCTTAGCAAATTGGTGCTACTTCTGGGCCAACACCCTTAGGTTGCCCCTTTAGGGTACTATAGGCCGAGTCTGCCCCAGAATCAAGCTGTGGCCCTTTGTTCTTCCCAACCTCAACCCCCAGAGCTGAAAGGCCTCCACTAAGGACACAGGCTGCCCCAGCTGATTGTGAAGCCTCAGCCTGCACATTTCTACTCAATCCTGAAGCTCAGAAGGACTTATGTCAGCCTAACTAATGCAGAACCCTCAACAGACCAGTTCTCAGAATGTCGCCTACCCATAGGCAAATCTGCTTCTGGCAAGTGGCTTCATTCTGACTGTAAGAATTGCTTCTGATGGGTAATCAAAGAGATCCCTGCTCTGGCCTTATGCTAAGACCAACCTTAAGACTCTTATTCAGGGGGAGTTATTATGTGTCCCACACTCAGTGGGTGGTTCATTCCTGACTGCTCTCTGATAAGAATGTGAGTTTACAGAGCTGCACTGATCAGCCTGTGTCACATGGCAAATGATCCCAGTCAGCCATGAACTCCCCTTCACTGGCAGTCCTGTTGGAAGACAGCCATGGAGATGGCTTTGGTTGTTTCATTTCCAGTGGAATAAAGGGGCTCAAAGAGGATGTAGTCCTCAAGTTAGCTGACATACACAGGAACACTTCATTAGTCTCATTCTCTGCTGAACTGTTTGGCCCGTTCATGGGTGGGACATACGGAAATGTAAAGTCTTACAAAAGGAAAAGCCTCCAGGTGGGGTTCATAGCAACGATGGAATAATCCATGGAACCACATATCACAATTCTGGCTCCCTTCTGGGTACTTTCCAAAAGGCCAAGTCTACAGGTTTTACTCAAACTCTGGGCAGTTTTGTACATGTCTACCAGTGCTGGGCCAGATGCCTTCCTGTTCTGGGTGACCACATGTACTCTGGAAGGATGCATATATCTCACCCACGTTATTCTCCGCTCTGCCTTTGCTGGTTTTGCTTTTGGGTCTGAAGATGCTAAGTTCCTTGAAATTGTAGCCAGCTCCCTCTGCGGTCCCCAGGCACCCATCCCTCCTCTTATGCGCAAAACTAGGCCTTAGGCAAAGATGGCTGCCATGGAAATGGGCTGTCCACACCTCCCTGAAGGACATAGATGGTGTCCCATGCAGAGGTGACTGGCGTGGCAGAGAGGCTGAAATGGGTGGAGTACAAAGCCTCCTCTCTTCCCTGGAAGGTTTTGTTCTTTCAGGCAGCATGCAGACAGAGTAGGAAGCTGTCCAACCAAGATCCAAGTGCAGCCTCCCTGTCCTGTGTTCTCATCTGCAAACGGCAGTGGTGACACCCATCGGTTCTACTGCTCACTAGGTTTAATGAGACGATCCACGCCAAGATGACCGACACCATTCCATCCGTTCCTGTTTCTCAACTTGTTGCTTTGGAAAGACTGAAACCTCACCAACACCGAAAAGAAAGGACAATAGATGTTCATTCAGTGGGTGCCCATATGCTTGCTTCATTAGTCTACTGGGGCTGCCATGATAGACGGCCAGCTAAACAACAGGGGTATTTTCTCACGGTGCTGGCTGCTAAATGTTCAGGTCAAGGTGCTGCAGGGCTAGTTTCTGGACTCTCTTTCTGGCTTGCAGAATTCCTCTTCTCACAGTGTCCTCATATGACCCTCTAATGTGCGTGTGCGCCCCTGCTGCCTCTGTCTCTCTACATAAGGACACCAGTCTTCCTGGATTAGGCACCCATGATCTCATTTGGCTTTTCTTCCTAATCTCCAAACAGTCATCCTGGAGCCTAGGGCATCAACATAGATGGGGGGGGGGTCATATAGGTCAGTCCAGAGCACATATTTATAAGTTGGGGCAGTGGGAGGGTAGTGTGTATGTTGTGTGTGTGCACACGTGTGTTTGAGTGTGTTTACATGTGTGAGTTCGGTGGGTAGAGGTTGGCATCGAGTCTTCTATTGCTTTCAGCCTATTTCTTAAATTTTAATTTATTTTATTAAAATGACAATTGAGGAACCATTAGATATCTGTATCTTAAGAGATGCAATAACAACAAAATTAACACTCCAAATCATGACAAAGCTTTTATTCTTGGCTTTCTTCCAGACAACGTGTGCCTGGAGAGAAGTCAGGGCCCACCTTATTTGGGGGGATCAGGTCTCTGGCTGGACTTGGAATTGCTGTTTTGGCTAGACAGGCTGGCCAGCGAGCCCAAGATCTGCATGATTCTTACCCCCCTTCCAGCGCTGGGGTTACACTCCTGTGTGGGTGTGGGGGATTCAACTCAAGTCCTCACGGCTGCTTAGCAAGCATCCTCCACACTGAGCCATCTCCCAGCCCCAAACTTACATGCTTTAATAAGAATACCCTCCACCCTTCCACCCTACATGTCCTGCATGCATGAACACGTGTGTCGTATGGGAAATTTCTTAGTGGACATGGAGAATAGAACCTTCCTGTGGATACAGTGGGTCTGTAGAATGTGTGTGTGTGTGTAACCATTATAAAAGATTTTAAGGTTCTATAAGCTTTCCTTGCTATTTTTTTCCTTAAAATAACTTTAAAGAAGATGACTTTTGGAGGCCCTAAGTGGAACTGGAGGGACAGCTCAGCAGTTAAGTGTGCATGCTGCTCCCACAGAGGACCTAAGGTTGCTTCCCTACGCCCATGCCAGGCAGCTCACAACCACCTGCAGCTAGGGCCTCAGGGAGCCCAACAACCCTTCCTGGCCTCTGTGAGCACTAGGCACATACCCCACCCACACACACACACATAACTGAAAATAGAAATAAAATATTTTAAATAAAAAAAATCAAAGCTTTAGAAAAACTGTATTTCTGTTAACTTTGTCTTAAGTAACTTCTCTCTATACCGGAAAATATTTAATCATAGCAAGTACATAGAATCAAAGCTATAAATAACAACAACAACAAAAACAAAACAAAACAAAAAACTAAGAAAGAGATAGGAAACCAGGAGGGAGGTGATTAGCCCACTGCAAGTGGTTAGCACATAAGGATGTTTTCATAATTCTGTGTTGGTCATTACAGTGTTTATAAAATTAAAATATGCAGGGTGTGGTGTTTACCTGCAATCCCAATACCTGGGAGGTGGAGGCAGGGGGGGTCATAAATGTAGGGTCAGTCTCAGGTAGCAATTTCCAGCCCCTCTAGACTACGTGAGACCCTGTCTAAAAACTGTAAAAATAAGACAAAACAAAAATGCACTTAAAATAGCCGAGAATGGAGCAATGCATGAAATGTTAGCATGCAGCCATCTGCGTTGGCGTACCCAGAGGGTCGGTAAGTGGTGGCGGTGCCCTAATTCTGAGCTGGGTTCCTTCCAGTTCTCTGAGTATGTCATAGTAACTGTTTTTCTCACATATCGCTGACGTGAGCGTATTCAAGTTAGGACAAGCATGGTGTGAAGGTTTTCCAGCTCTCAGGCGATATATGCTGGTCAGTGAAGAAATCCCATTGAAATGACAGTGATTTGGGGATTATGCCTCCCACTCTAGCACCAGAAATTGTGAAGAATCAACTCTACTCAGGAATAGCCTTCACCAGGCATGGTGACACACACACCTTTTATCCCAGCACTTGGGAGGCAGAGGCAGGTGAATCTCTATGAGTTTGAGGCCAGCCTGATCTATAGAGTGAGTTCCAGGACTGCTAGAGTTACATATTGAGACTCTGTCTCCAAACCAAACCAACCAACCAACCAACCAACCAACCAACCAAACAAACAAACAAACAAAAAAGAATAGCCCTCAATTTCAAATCACAGTTTTTCTAAGTTACACCTGTTTACCAAATGCCAGAGGATCCCAGGATGCTTGGGGCCATCTTGTAATTATCCAGAACTTGTTCACCTTTGCCTCACTTCACATATCTATCCATCCATCTGTCCGTCTGTCCATCTATCTGTCTACCTACCTATTAAAAAGCTCCCTGGGAAGCTGAGGAAAGTGCTAGCCTGGCAAGAAGGAGGGCCTGAGTTAAGTCCCCAGAATGCACATTTTAGAAAACACAGTACTGTATGCTTATAGCCCAAGTTTTGGGGAGGCAGGAAGAGGCATCTTCCTGGGGCTCAATGGCCAGCCAGCCTAGCCTGCTTGGCAAGCTCCAGGCCTGTGAGAGATTATGTCTCAGAAAAATGTCGTAGAAAAAAAAATTGAAGCTGGAGAGATGGTTCAGCAGATAAAAGTATTTTCTGAGAAAGCATGAAGGCCTGAGTTTAACCCTCAGAAACCCCACAAAAGCCAGATGTGTACAACAATCATCTGTACCTCTATGCTTCTAAAGGAGGGTAGGAAACAGAGACAGGAGACGCCTGGTGTACACAGCAGAAAAACAAGAGATTGTCTCAAACAACGTGAGCATCAGCACTCAGTGTTATCCTCTGGCCTCCACATGGGTGTGTGTGCACATGTGCATGTGAGTGCTCCTCCCCCTGTGCACGCGCGCGCGCACACACACACACACACACACACATACACACACACACAGAAAGAAAAATTTCTGGGTTTCCTGCATATTTCTCTTCACTCCTTTCTTTCTTTCTCTCTCTCTCTTTCTTTCTTTTCCTCTTTCTTTCTCTCTTTCTTCCTTTCTCTCTCTCTTTCTCCCTTTTTCTCTTTCTCTCTTTCTACTAATTTCAATCATTTTCCGTATTTTTCTGCTCACTACTGACTTGCATGGAAGGCCCCACACCTGAAATTCTGAGACTTCCTGCATTGGTTTTTGAAGAAGCAAGGGCATGTATAATGATTATGGGCAGCCCTACCTACAAGCTGCATGGGGTTCACTGTGTTTTGGGTAGGGGCTCCTGGAAGCCTTTTGTCGGGGTCAGATTGGGATCATTCTGCCTGGATGTGGCTCTGTCTTTGGTACCTGTGAGAACCAATGAAACAACCCATGTTTTCATTGTTGGCAGCACTGGGCTAGGAGGCTCCTGCTCTGCTTCTGAGAGTGCTGCCAGCCTGGATCCGTGCACTGTCTCCCCAGAGGTGACTGAGCAAGGGAAGCACCCCCAGGAAGCCGGGGGGCCAGAAGGTTCTCCACTACCCAGACCATCTCTGTCCAGGGAACAGGTGTGCCCCTCAGCCTCCATGCCCTTCACCGAGTGCCCTCCAGAAAGTTGCCTGGCAAGCTCAGAAGCAGCAGCTGAAGATGGCACCGTCACCCATCAACTTAGAATGGAACCCTCCCCCAGCATTCCAGGAGACACCTTAGTAACATTTACTCCTGAAGGGGATGGCTCCGCACAGTGCTCAACGGCTGCCACGACCCCCACGACCCCCAGTGCTGAGGGAGACAAAGAGGCACAGAGCTCCTCCTCCAGTTGCCCTGGACAGTTGCCTGGAATTTCCCTAGTGCCTCTCCAGGAGCCAAGGACAGAGCTGCTGTGTGGAGAGGGTGACTGGCCTGGTGGCTTTGAGTTCCAAAGGAAAGAGGCTATGGATGGCTGTTCTCCCCTACAGTCTGCCAGCAAGGTCCCTGCTACCACCCAGTTGGGGATGGAGAGCTCAGCTGTCCTTGAGCAGTGCCCCCCAAAACTTGAGACCATGGCCCCAGAAAATCCAGTCCTAAGATCATCAGATAGGGAAAGAGGCGGAGGGAAGGTGCTACCTACGAATTCCAAGAACTTGGAATTTCTCAAAGGCTGCCATCCCTCTAAAAGCAACTCAGGGGCTAACCCTGGAGCTGGGACAAGCACTGCCTCCCAGCAAAGCCACCAGCAGAACGCGGAAATACATCTGCCACGTCCAGAACTATCCTCAGACCCACTAGGTCCTGCTGCAGCACCAGGAGACAGTGGCTCCTGGATGGAGGAGGCTCTGGACAGCAAAGAGGCTCAGCCACAGACAGGGACATCAGAAACTGAGCCCCAGCAAGTTATGGGTGTGGCAGCAGCCAGCCAGCCGGATGGGAGCTTGCTTCTGAGAGCTGAGCTCCCGCCATTCACTGGAACAGAAAAAACATCTACAGTGTCCAGCCCCTCCGCACACCCAGCTGCTTGGAATTCTGTTGCCTCCGAAGATCCCAGCTTGGCCAAGGAGACAGTTTCTGAGGCTCAGATGCTAGTTTCTGCAGATCTGACCGCAGAACAGGTGGGCACAGGGGTAGTGGAACTGAAGGCAGCATCAGATCGTAGAAGAACACAAGAACAATCAGAAGGCAGCCTCCAGGGAGTCCCTGCCCCTTTCCTGCAGGGGCAAAATGATACAGTCCCCGAAGGGCTGTTGCTGCCAACTTTCTCCCATGGGGTTTCAAATGAAAGTTCTAGAAGGTCAGTGGAACCAATTGACGGTCCTGAGGCCCCCAAGAATACTGAAAACAGAGTTGCAGCTGGAGAGGGAAGCAGATCACTCCGAGACAACCCTAAGGGACAGCAAAAAGCCACCAGAGCTGTTGATGGTACAGAGTCTGGGAACCATGAGGAAGAGAGGTCTCAAGCCTTTGGCTGCAGGCTCCATTGGGAGACTGACAAAGATGAGGCTTCAAAGCCACACAGCACTCCAGAGAACAGCATCATTCCTAGCTCAGACTCAGCACAGCCACCCACACAGGGGGTTGCTGGCTGCATGGATGAGCCCCACACTGGGTCAGGAGAGGCGGTGCGACAGGTGGTTCCTGAATCCCATGTGACCGACACAGCTACCTCACTGCACAAACTCCATAAGGAGGACCCCATTCTGTCCTCAGCATCAGACGGAACTGGGGAGCACTTTCCCCCCCAAGAAGCCATTGGGGAAAGCTCAACATTGCAGACCCCCATCATGCTTCAGGACAGGGGAGGATTGGGAACGACAGAGTCACTTCCTGCTTTAGGATCTGAGAAAGCAGGTTTCCTGTCTGTGGCAGCTGTGAGGGAGGTACCCAAAGCTGGGGAGATGGAGAACATCCCGGAGCTAAAGAAGAGCCACTCGCCCTTGCAGCAGCCCTACAGCTGTGATGGGGAAGGCTTGCTGATATCCCCAGGCCAACCTTGTGACCTAGAGAAGAAGGTGGAACCTGGACAGGAAGTCCATGCTGCTGTGTCACCTCCCCCTGATGAGAAAAACTCAGCAACAGGCCACGGGCTTACTATGTTCAGTCTGGAACAAGATTGTCAGGGAAAACTGTCCTGCCCAGAGGACAGCCTCCCACAACCTTTTAAGAACTCTCTCCAGCCACCCCAACTAGACCCAGAAACATCCATCTTTGCTAGTCTCTGTGAGAAGGACCAACCACCTACAAATGGGCAAGGCGCTTGTTCAAGTGGCCCAGGTCTGGAGAAGCAGGGTACAGATCCTTCAACAACCCCAATGCCCGAGGGAGGGAAGCCTGGGGTAGATGTGAGCTTGCCTCATGACGGAAAGGAATGGGCTTCAGAACCTCCCCCCACAGGCAGTCCACACAAGTTCATCCCCCAAGTTCATCCTCCAAGTTCATCCCCCAAGGATACAGTTCTGGGAGGGGTGCCATCAGAGGAGTCAGAACTGTCAGCCACTCTGGGACAGAAGTTGCCTGCACGTGGGGAAAATGAGCAAGGGGACACAGGCAGTGGCAGTCAGCCCTCGGAGATCCCACCTCCTGCGGCAGACGCCTCTCTTGCGGGAAACCTGGGTGGAAAGGATAGTTGCTGCATTGGGCAGGGGCTGAGCAAGTCTCAACAGGAGCTGGCTGATGCTATGAAAACAGGCAACCAGCATGAAGAAGCATGTTGTGGGGACTTGGGCATAGCTGAAGCAGGTGACGTACTGCCCCTGCCTCAGGGCTTCAGGAAGACAGAGATGGCAAGTGGAAACATGGCAGAGGCCCCGCCTTGCCCACCTGACTCAGTAGCTCTGCTGGATACAGCACACTGCTCTCCAGACCCGGTGCCTACCAGCCCCAGAGTCACATCCACTCAGGATGCCCTAGCGAGTGAGGTCTGTGATGAAAGCAAGAAAGAATCGGTTCAACAGCTGGAAATGGAGCAGCTGGCCACCTCGGGTGCAAAAGCACAGAGGCTTCTTGGAAGTTTCCCGAAAGCAGAGGAGCAAGGTGGTAAAGGCGGGTCTGCAGAGGTGGACGTCGACACCAGTGACGGAGACCCTGGGACGGAGCAGGCTTCAGAGGGACCAGAAGCTGCTCAGAATAGTGGCTGCTTTCAGACTGAACAGGGCCTCCCCTCCACCCTGGCTGAGCCATGCCAACTTGAGCAGCTTGAGCCCAGCTGTGGGGATGCCTTGCTGCCAGCTGGAGAATCGGATGGGCTCCCCAGGAGTACTGTGGGCGTTCCAGCACACGGCACTGTTACAGGCCCACAGAGGCTTCTGCCCGCTGAGCTACCCAAAGAGACTGTACCTGACACTCCTTACCTGCAGATCAATGGCGCTTCGAGGCAGGATGCAGAAGATGGCAGCATGAGAGCTGTTTCCTCTGAGGACCCCAGAGCACCTCATGAAAGCCCCTGCCCTGTAAAGGAGCTTCCACCTGCTTTGAAAAACGACACCCCTGGACAGGTGTCTGCTGTTTCCTTCACCACACTCTTGCAATCAGGAACCGAAGGTGAGGAAATCTTTGCAGCAGGGGCTGGTAGTGGTATCCCCCAAACTGGAACCACAGAGGGACCTGTGAGTTTCATGCCCTACCTGGACAGGAGACCTCTCCTGGCCAAAGATGAGCAGATGACAAGAGAGGTGTGTGTGGCCACAGCTCCAGAAGCCAGTGCCAGGCCCTCTGAGATCACAGCATGCCCTGCCAGTAAGGGCACAGTAGGAGAGACAGCGAGTAAAAGGGGGAAGTCAGAAGAACCCTCAGGTCTAAGGATTGGCGCATCAGGTCATGAGAGTACAGGCTCCAAGAAGACCAGCATAACAACAGGGCTTCCTGACTTCAGAGAGCACATCAGCAAGATCTTTGAGCAGTCTGTGCTTGGAGCCCTGGCTGCCGATCGGCCCCAGAGAATTCCTGGTAAAAAGGCAGGAGCTCCATGGAATGTGCCAGCTGAGGGCCCAGACGTGTCACTGAACCCAGAGAAGCTTCTAGATGGGGCTCCAAAAGTGGCTGCTGTCCCTCTCCCTGTACTTTCTGCCGGACTCCAGGTGGAGAAGAAGCAAGAGTCAGAGGCTGAGGCTGAGGTTTCTCACCTGGTTCCCCAGGATCCAGAACCAGAGAAGCTGGTGGGTCTGGTGGAGACAGCCTTGGAGGAGAAGCTGCCACGTGCCAGTGTTGAGGGAGAGGGGCCCTGTGTCCCACTGACAGTGACAAGTGAGAGGCTAGAGGGGACTGTGGAGCCAGGCCAGGGAGCTCAAGCTCACTCACAGCAGAGAAGAAGCAGACAGGAATCAGCATCAGGTCTTCCTGCCCCTGCAGCTGCTCAGGGGATGCTAACAGAAAGTGTTCCTGGCTTCCCCATGGCTCCCCAGAGCCCTGCAGAGAAGACTTCTGCTCAAGGGGACAGACATCCTTCTGCAACAGAGCCCCTGGAAACATTGGCCAGCAACAGTCAACATAGAAATGATACCCGAGACCTTGCTCATACCCAGGGTCCAAGTAATCTATCAGGATCCACCTGTGCCCTGGAAGGCTCTTCTTCTCATGGAAGTGTTTTGAATGTCTCTGACTCTAACAGTGAGCCCCGGACCCCTGCTACACTTGGGGGTGAAAGACAGACTGAACCTGCTGTCAGTCCCGCAGAAATGCAAAATGTGCTGGGCCACCAGGGTACCCCCAAACCACTGGCTGGAGGAGTGTTGGCAGCTCCCCCGGAGCCTAGCAAAATGGCAGGAGCTCCCGAGGAAGCCAGAGGTGATGTCACACCAAGCACAGCTGAGGTGTGGACATGTGTGTCTGGTGACCTCCCGGAAACAGGTACTACAAGGATGCTTCCCTGTGTGGCAGGTGACTCAGCCCTGCCTGGGTGCTGTCAGGACTCAGGATGCTCCAACAGGGCTCAGGCAATGGAGGACACAGGTACCCGTCAAGGGGACAGCCAGGTCGGATGCCAGCAGGCCAAGCAACAGCTGGAGTCTCAGCTCCTTGCTCCCGTGCGGTATGGGAAGAATGTCTCCTCACCTTCAGAGCCTGATGACAGCAAAGACAAGAAGCTGCACCTCTTGGCTCCAGCAGAACTCCACAATGACAGGTACTTAGGGGCAATGTCCATGGGTTCAGAGCCATTATGACCCCTAGCCTCGTGTTCAGTGAGTCAGATGGATTTTCAGGAGGCTAGGTTTCCTATATCTTAAGGGTCAAGCGGCCCCACTTACCCTCTCGAGATGTGCTGGGATTCTGAAGGCACGGGGGCATATGTGACACATCTTGTTCCTTTCCTTGTGTGCTCCAACTTATCTAAAACCACTAGAAAAGCATGAAGCATCGACAGGCTGTTGTGGTGGGCTACAGCCAGTCAGCTGCTTTCTACTGTAGAGTGGTTTAGGTAGAGGAGGTGTATGTTGGTCAAAGCAGCTCATGCCTCTAGCTGCCTAAAGCTCTCTTCTCTTCTTCCTAGGGAGGTTGGTGTGCTGGCTACTTAGTCCTTACTGGGAAATGTGCTTTTTAAATTGGGATTTGGGGAGGGACAGTGCTCTCTAACCATCTGATTCCAGCAATCACTTTCCTTCCTCATCTCAGAAGGAGCCCAGAGCCTGGCTCGGCCACCTTACCTTCAGTTCCCGAGACATATGCTCCGAAAGTCTTTTCAGCAGAGGCCAGAGATTTGGGAGGACCAGAAAGGTCAGTGACACACAGGCTTTGGGAGCCTATGACACCTTTCTTAGAAATATGTGCTGTTGACTTCACAAAGGATAGTCGTGTTTGTGTGTTTGTGAGCATCTCAAGTAGCCCAGGCTAGCCTCAGATCCATTAGGAAGCCAGGGATGACTTTGGATTCCTGATCCTCTGCTGAGACATACCAGTAGTCCTAACCTAAGGAAGCTGAGGCAGGAGAATCAGGAGTTTGGGCCTGAGCTACATTTAAGACCCTGTCTCAAGTGTGTGGGGAAGTGGGACTAATAACCCTTTCTATCCTAAGTGCACCTTAGGGGTGTCTGTGATAACTCAGAGCAGCACTGTTGCCAAGAGGGATGTTTGCTCCCATACCTGAGCCTTTACCTGTAAAAACAAAACAATTCCACCAAGCTACAATTCACACAGCATATAATTCACTCATTTAAAGTCTGAGTACACATACTCACACAGACACAAGACACACAGGCACACGCACACACAGCACAAGTCTTAGTGTGCCTAGAGTTCTGTGGTGGGGGCCACAAGCAACTGCAGAACTCTGTCACAGACACCCAAATAAGCTCTGCAGCCCCTCGATGTCACCCCCGAGTCCCCTGTGTCCTTAGCCTAGGCGCCCACTAATCTAGCTGGATGCCTTTTGAGGCTAATGGGTCAACCTTGCTTTAATCTCTGCAGCAAGAGTAAGTGGTCACAGTGGAAGCCACCCTCCACAGAGATCTTCAGATAAGGAGGGCCGATGACAAATGGAACCATGTCACTCAATCCTCACCCCTTCCCTACTCCAAGGGAGTGCCACCTGTGGTCCCGTAGAAGCTGCTGTTTAAATTTATCCTTAGGGGATAGAGAGGCATTGTGAGGCATTGTAGAATGACATTAGGAGGAAGCTTTGCTGACTATCTAGACCTTTGGTTGTTGAGTTTTGTGTGTGTGTATGTGTGTTAGAAAGAGCGAGAGAGAAACAGACACACACACACACACACACAGAGAATATGTGTTAGAGTCTAAATTAGTACCTGTGTCATGTCTCCTGCCAACAGCTGTGGGTGTTTTGCAAATTGTTTGATTCATATTTTCGCATGCTAAAAGAATGCATGATCACCTGTTTTTTGAGTCTCAGCACTCCCCCAGCTCCCAGCTGCCTCTGCTGCCCCGCCAGCCAGGGCAACTCCCACGACTCTCGGCCAGCACATGTGGCCTGAGCTGAGCAAACATCTCGTTTGAACAGTGGCCTGCAGCACTCCCTGGCATGTGTCTTTTCCATTCCGACTTTAGGTATAGGAAAAAGATCTGTGTAGCCAGGAAATCTCTTCTGCCCCACAAAAGACTGCCTCTACCCCTTCTCAATGCCTTCTCAGCATCCACAGGCATTTAATCAGCTTCCTGGGGAAGCTTTGGGCCAGTTACAGAGTCATCTCATTAACAGTTCATGGCTCACTGTTTTCACTTTAGAATTTTAAATTGTATTTTCTGAATAAATGTTAGAAATTAGGGTTTTGGGTTTTTTTGTTTTTTTTTTTTCCACATTTGTAAAGTATAGAAGAAAACCAAAAAGAAAAGAGAGAGAGCTGGGGAAGTGGCCCCATAGTTAGGAGCTCACACTGCTGCCCTTACACAGGCCCTGAGTTCTGTTCCCAGAGCTCACAACCCCCTGAAACTCCAGCTCCAAGGGCTTTGACTCCCTCTTCTGGTCTCCGAGGGTACCTACACACACACTCTCACACTCGGGGGTGGGGGGGAGAGAATTAAAAGTAAAAATTTTAATTGCTGGGCAGTGGTGGCATATGCTCTTAATGCAGTACTTGGGAGGCAGGCAGAGGAAGGCAAATATCTGTGAGTTCGAGGCCAGCCTGGTCTACAAATGGAGTCCAGGACAGAAAAACCCTGTCTCAAAAAAAAAAAAAAATATATATATATATATATATATATACACACACACATACATACACATACACATACACATTTATATGTACATACATCTTTTTTTTTTTTGCATCTTTAGTGAGGCTCCCCAAATGTTAAGATGGCTAGAGAGAGATGGCTCAGTGGCTAGGAGCATTTGAGACTCAGGTTCAGTTCTTAGCACTTACAACATGACCTACAGCTGGCCCTAGCTCCAGTTCCAGGAGATCGAGCATTTTCTCTGGCTTCTTCAGACACTAGGCACATAGGCACTGTTCATACATACATGCAGACAATACGCTCACCATTATAAAAATAAAATAAAATAAAATAGAACAGTTACATTCGTGGGCTTTGCATGTGTGGATGACATCCTGCACAGATAATCTGGCTTCAGAACCCGGTCTTTTTGGCTCTTAAAAAAAACAAAAAACAAACAAAAAACCTTCAGAATGGGAGAAAGTTGGCCTGATTTGTGCTTGCAGCTCTTGGGTAAGGAGTCTCCTACTCTGGCCACTATTAGCTGGAGCCCTGGAAGAGCTCTCTACCCTGCCAAGAGGGGTGACCTTTGGCACCTCCCAGAAAAGCTAGCATCTGAGTAAATAGACCCTACAGGCTTAAGGGACAGAGATCTCTGGAAGGTCATGGCCAGCTCTGCCCAAAAGGAATGCGACACAAACTACAAGGGTAATCTTAAATTTTCTAATAGCCACATTACACACAGGGAGAATTAGCCTTACATTTTATTGATATGCTGTTACTTATTTATTTATATTTTTGGTTTTCAAGACAGGGTTTCTCTGTGTACTCTTGGCTGTCCTGGAACTCACTTTGTAGACCAGGCTGGCCTCGAACCCAGAGATCTGCCTGCCTCTGCCTCCCAAATGCTGGGATTAAAGGTGTGCGCCACCATTGCCTGACACATTCTTGTTTTTTCATATTGAGTTTTTAGTATATACTCACAGCACATCTCAATAGTGACCTGACACAGCCAAACCTCAGCAGCCACACGTGGCCAGTGGCTACTATCTTGCATGCTCTTGGATGCCACTCTGTTTACGTATTTGACCCAGGAGGCTGCACCTTCTGAGAGGACCCTAAATGTCCCTCTCTCCTTTGACTTGAAATCTCATTCCTACCTACCAATTTTTCACAGATGAGGAGGATGCTTCTTCCTACAAACCTGTGTGTCTCGGGAAGTATGTACGGCCCTGAGAAACTTCTGCCAAGGCCAGAGGGTACATGACTGGGCCACTAGGCATTACATGTAGGTCAAAGCCAGCATGGCTCTGGGGGAGTGTGGGTGGATGCTGACAGAGGCTGGGTGATAAAAGTCAAGGCCAAGATTGACTTCACACCCTCTCTGCTCCTCACCAGTTACACCGAAAACCTCGGTATGTCTGTAGGATGGTAATGACAGCAAGTAAACCCGCTTCACCAGAGGGTTGACTCAAGCGCCGCACTGGTGTACTCTGGGACTTGGTAGGCTAGGCTTCTGTGGTTTTGTGACAAGCTTTCCGAGCTCGATGAGCTCAGCCACCAAACATCACTCTGCAGTGTGGAGACAATCCCTGGGATCTCTGTATGTGCATGGAGAGGAGGCTCCAATTTACCAATTTCCGTTTTCCAGAAATGAATTTTTTTGCAAGCGAAAATGTCTTGGAAGGCAGCAATGTTCTATACCACCATACTATACCACTATACCATGCCACCCTCAAATACGCCACCACACCGCCCTAAGATACCAGAATGAAAAAGAACACTTCTTCCTACCCCCGACCCTCCCATAGCTCACAGTGATCTTGCCTGACACCAGCTAACTTTTCTTGAGATAGTTTTTTACTGGGATGCTTTATGTATCTTTCTTTGTGATGTATATTTCAGCATCAACATAATGTTTCAAGTTGCATATCCGATCAAAGCCAAATTCTACTCTCTTGTTAGGAGGTCGGGGGAGTTGCTCCCTGGGAATCTATTGAATTAAAAAATCTTGCTAAGTAGGGATGACAACATCTGTCATCCTCCGTATCTTAGACAAATGTTCCACCCCTGAGCCACAGCCACAGCCAGTCTTATTTTTGGTATCTCAGACATGTCACTTTTGTTCTTTTGGAACAAAAGGGTGAGTTGAAAATCTGATCTCACATGCCCATGTAGAAGTGGGTGCTGTCTGTCTGTCTATCTACCTACCTACTTACCTACCTACCTCTCGGCTTATAATATCCAACTGGTACTGTTGGTGACAAGTCACACTTTGCATCTTTTCAGTCACACTCACCCATTCTGAGAAGCCCGCTCAGGCAGACTATTTGCAGAATATGTCTGTACTTTGTGTAATCCTAATCTGGATAGAAGCTTGAGACCTGGAGTCAGAGACACTCTTTGTTGAGGTTTGATTTGATCTCAGCATTGTAACTTATCTTCCGTGCTTGTGGAATGTCTAGATTTTGGCATTTTGTTAGGCAGGTGGTTCTGAATAAATTTTGGACACTGCTG